GGCTTGGGACTATGCGGAACTCCCTATCAAAACCCACATACTTCTTTTTCTCTTCCCTAAATGGGAACTTTATTCAGTGTGATAGGCCTCAGGCCCTTTTACAGTATAAATAAATATACCGTACATTTTTAGTGCTTTAAATAAGGCGAGACTTTTTTATACCTTGTTTAGCGAACCCTCCGATTCTTAAATTGTGGATTTAAAAATAAAAATAAAATTTTATTATAAGTGTGTTAGCGTACGAGCCGCCATGAAAATTGAAAAAAAGAAATAAAAATAAAAATGTTCACGGAACTCCATCTCCCGCGGGGGGGGGGGGGCGTACGAACCCCCGAACCTTCCCCCCTAAATACGGGCCTGGTTTATTGTTACGACTGGAACCCGAATCCGCAGGGGTTACGTAATAAGCAGTAAACCGTATATACTCGCGTATGCCCTATGAGGTACCCGTGTATAAGACGACCCCCGAGTTTTAGAAGATCTGGTTGATATTTGTATGTCTGGCGTAGGCCTATAAGATGACTCCCTGTTTCATGGTCGGAATTCCTAATTTTTTGTAGTCCTGATACTGCATCTAGCTGGATAAATGGAGCAAAATGCAAGGGTAATCTTTCAAATAATATCATTTTATGATTTTTTAAGTCTTCACCATCAAAATCGTATTTTCCCGTATTTAAAATTGCTTTTATTCATACAATATTTAGTTGCTTCATTACAGTTAGTAAGTTCGCGTGTTACGGACGATCCGCTCATAAGACGAACATGATTATAAAATTCTTAAATCTGAATGTCTTGCGTATAAGACGACCCCTTACCCCCCCCCCTTTTTTTTTTTTTTTTTTTTTTTTTTTTGTAATTTGCTATTTTAAGCCTCGTCCTATTATACGCGAGATATTATACGGTATTTGTTTTAAAACCCTAGGTCACCTGAGCGTTAGTCATACAGTGGCGGATTCAAAGGGGAAATTTTCCATGGGGAGGACCCCAACCCCTTTCATTTTGGGTATTTCTGAACCCCCTCTTTCAAATCCTTGATCCGCCCCTGTGTCCCCCCCCCCATTGGTCGCTACATGCTAGGCGTAGCTGGCCATTTAATTATGGTGATTATTTATAAAAACAAAAACAGTGAAAGATTAACATTGTTCTGTGTATATCATTTTAATTTCAAACAAACGACAGTTGATTTGCGTGTAATTTTTGTATTTTAAATGAATGTTATGTACCCACTGTTGTCCTAATCGGATTAACCTGGCCGAATCATTTGGCCTATTTCGAAAAAAACAGTTTGGCCGAATTTGGCCGTGAGATGGCCTGTGTTTGGTCGTGAAGCCAGTCGAATATCTGGCAACCCTTCCGTGTGGTAGGCCGCGTAGCGTAGACTTTGTTTTGTGTTGACATTCAGAAGCAAAAATGAGCTCAGATAATGTAGGTGTTCATTGTACAATGGGACAGTTAATTTGTGAATCTATTCGATCTATGTTATGCCTAGGCCTAGACATTTTATTTATTATGGCTAGGCTAGGCCTAGGCCCTTTTAGCTAAGCTTATCCTCTCTAGCCTAGGCCTAGTCCTGGAGACATGGATGGGCTGAGTTAGATAGGTCCCTAGGCTAGACCTAGAGAGGCGGTAGGCCTAGCTAGATCGAGGTTAGACCTACGTACGATTGACTAGGGCTATGTAAATATGTCTTGCTGAATCTTTACTAATAATACAGTAATTGCATATTTTAACTTGGCTTTTAAGCCTAGCTCTAGGCTAAGCCTACAAATACAATACATCATCATGGTTCATGTTATTAGTTAGTTTAAAAATGTATTTCCCTTTAAAAATAAATTATCATTTAATGCTGTATTTATTTGTTTCATCTCTTGGGAAAATGCTTCTTACCATGAAGATGAATATCAGTTTTTGACAAATATTATTTGTTTATTTAATAAACTTACAGTAATTTGTTTTAGTGTGATTCTTGAAAACTTTTTCCTTTCATCTTTTTAAAAAACTAAAGCCAAATAGCACAATGTCCAGACTTGATGAGGCTAGTTCTTATCATTTGATAAATAAATATGTGAACTATTAATTCCAGACTGTTGATGGCCTTCTGATGACATTAGTTGGCATGGGCTTTGATCTGGATCGCAGTCAGGAAGCTGTGCAAGCTGGCAAATATAATCTCCAAGATGCAATTGAATGGTAAATTCCTCTGTTTCTTCAAAGATTTTGACATGTTTTTCTTAGACACTTGTGTATCCTGAGATTCATGAATGGGGAAGTGGATTCTGTATTTATGAGAGTGGCTTGACTCCATCAGACAAACAAGGGGTCATAGCCATTATCTGTGCATTAAACCATAGCTAAACAAGTGGTGGTAGCCACTGTGTGTGCTCTGTACCATAGCTAATTGACAAGTGGTGGTAGCCACTGTGTTTGCACTGGACCATAGCTAAACAAGTGGTGGTAGCCACTGTGTTTGCACTGGACCATAGCTAAACAAGTGGTAGTAGCCACTGTGTTTGCTCTGTACCATAGCTAAACAAGTGGTGGTAGCCACTGTGTGTGCACTGGACCATAGCTAAACAAGTGGTGGTAGCCACTGTGTTTGCACTGGACCATAGCTAAACAAGTGGTGGTAGCCACTGTGTTTGCACTGGACCATAGCTAAACAAGTGGTGGTAGCCACTGTGTGTGCACTGGACCATAGCTAAACAAGTGGTGGTAGCCACTGTGTGTGCACTGGACCATAGCTAAACAAGTGGTGGTAGCCACTGTGTGTGCTCTGTACCATAGCTAAACAAGTGGTAGTAGCCACTGTGTGTGCACTGGACCATAGCTAAACAAGTGGTGGTAGCCACTGTGTGTGCACTGTACCATAGCTAATTGACAAGTGGTGGTAGCCACTGTGTGTGTTCTGGACCATAGCTAAACAAGTGGTAGTAGCCACTGTGTGTGCTCTGTACCATAGCTAAACAAGTGGTGGTAGCCACTGTGTGTTCTCTGGACCATAGCTGAACAAGTGGTGGTAGCCACTGTGTGTTCTCTGGACCATAGCTGAACAAGTGGTGGTAGCCACTGTGTGTGCTCTGGACCATAGCTAAACAAGTGGTAGTAGCCACTGTGTGTGCTCTGGACCATAGCTAAACAAGTGGTAGTAGCCACTGTGTGTTCTCTGGACCATAGCTGAACAAGTGGTGGTATTCACTGTGTGGTGACTGAAACATAGTAAATGAATACCAATACTAATACGAGTGGATGGTAATTTTAAAAGGAATGCTAGTTCAAGCGGTTGCCAGTTCGAGCTGGTGCAAATTATAACAAGGGCGAATTTATCCATAAATTTGTTTGTAAAATGCATTGTGTAACTAAGGTTTTGAAAGGTTTTTGGTACTTAACTATTCCATGTTTTAAATTACCTTTCTTTGCAAATTAGATCACCTGCTTCAATTGTTATATATTTTTAGGCTTCTTCAGTGCAATAATACAAATGTCATCCCAACAATCTCAACTCCAACTCTAAACCTTCGACAAGACAGACAGGTAAACAGTATAAAATGTATGTATCATTAGGGACTGAACACTTATATAAGATAAGGTGTTATATAATAACACCTTATAAGAATAAGGAGTAAATCATGCAGTCACAAATTTTGGGTTTCTTCCTATTTTAATTTTTATAACTTAAAATATTATAATTATAAATATTATGTTAAAGTTAGGAACTTTTGATAAAAAAATTCTGTTTGACAACTACATACTGTACAGTATTATTCTGATTCCCAAAAGAATCTGAGGACCACTGTTTGGTGATTTGACATAGAATGAACCTCAGTCTAATTGGTGACTTGAAATGGATTTAGACATTATATTTTTAATTGTTATAGGCACCAGTATCCCAAACACAGAATATTTCAATGCAAGTAGATAGTGGCTTTAATGTTAGCCCAGCTTCATCAGAATCAAAGGTTGTAGAAGCTGAGGCAAAACCTACACAAACATTGTCCAGTAGGTATGCATTGAATGAGGAACAACTTGCAGATAAGGACAGATGGGAACAGGAACAACGAGATCAGGTAGCAAGGGAGGCCAAAGAAAAACGATTGATGAAGAAAAAGGTAGTGAAAATTTGTATTAAATTTTAATTAGTTTATAATTTACTACAATTTAGTGATTGATTGATTGATTGATTGATTGCTTATTCATTGCTTATTTGGAGGAATGTATAGTACTACACAGTCACATTAAAGTACAAGTTGGCTAACAGCAAGAGTATAGCTGTAGCTTGGTAGAAAAGGTGCTTTCCTTTCATTCCTTCCCAGACCTTTGGTTTAAATCCTGTATAAAAAACAATTGCCAAGTGATAAAATAATTAAAATATGCACAAAAAATATATAAGCCATATTTAGATTAGGCCTAGTGGAAAGCTAATTTCTCATATACTTTGAAAGCAATTGTCTTCTTGTCAAAATAACTTTTGAACCTCCTTCAGGAAAGGCAACAAATTTTGCAAGAGATTGAAGCAGATAAGAAAGCCAGGATGAAGAAAATAGCAGCAACTAGTGGTAGTAGTAGTAGCACCACTCAAGAAGTGCTTAAAGGAAGTGATGTCACATTGAATGAAGGATTCAATAAAGAACAACTAAAAGAAAAAACAGAGAAGAAAGAATTAATGTGTACACTACAGGTGAGGTTTAGTTTTCTTTTCAATTTAAAAACTAATATACTATCTCAATATTGTAAGTGTTTTTATAAATAAATATTATATTTAATGTTTCATTATTATGTTGATATATTTTAATTTATCTTTGCTAATATTGATATAATATTATATAGAATTATGTTCAGGATAGATATTCACATCCAAAAATAAATCTATATTCTTGGTGACCAAAGGTTATAGGAATGAATCCTATACATATTACAATGACTTATGATTTTGCTTTCATATCAATGTCATCTCACTGTCTTCTGTTAAAATCTATCCTACTTTACATTTATTCCATATCAAATCAAAAAACCTATATTCCATATAGTCTGCTCTGCACCTCAATTTCTTTATACTTATTGTTTGTACTTTGACACATTGTAAATGTTTGGTTATTATTTGGTTGATTATTGTAAATAACTCAACCCCAAAAACCAACAGTCTATCAAAGTTGAGTAATGTTCTCAATGTCTCAATGATATTCTAGATCTTCCTGTCCTGCATGGCTGCTTTGAGGTACTGATATACTTATTACACATTCTTTAATAGCAAATATTCAATGTGATAAATGAAATAAAAATTTATCAATTACATTAACAATTATTTGTGAATGGATTCAATTGATTTGTTTAGATTCGTTTACCATCAGGACAAGCTCTTCGTCATGAGTTTGAAGCTTCCTGTCATCTTCAGTCGGTTGTTGAGTTTGTTAAAGAACAAGAACCAGCACTACAAGAAATAGAATTATTACAGGCAAGTAAAACCAATTTTGAAATTATTTATCAGTGATAATTAATGGTAGTGCTATCCATGGTCATTAGATCAATAATTTACAAAGTGACACTTTTCTCTACTACCTGGGCAGTGGTGGATCAAAGAATTCCAAGAGGAGGGTCCAAGCCTACAGCCTCATTGAGTGTCCTGGAATACAGTCCCTGGTGAAGCTCATAGGGAGAGATTTTATGGGTGATGGTGACCCCAAAAGTGTGCTTTTAGACCACAATATTAGGCTTGGACCATAGAGTATGAAAGGCCCAAATATTAGTACCTTTGTTTCTGAAAGGGAGCAGGGAAGGGTTTGTTTTTTTTGTGTGTGTTTTTGTTTTGCTGATATATCCTAAACAATATGTATAGTAAAAGTAGTAAATCCTTACCAAGCCACGGGGCTCATAGTGCTGGAGGTTATCCCCAGTTGCAAGTAGCTGAAGCTAATGAGAGCGTGATGCTCCTCTGGGGTGGGATGCTGGTACACCACAGGCTACTCGCAGCAATTCGCTGGTACCCATTTACAGCTGGGCATACTGAAACAATGTAGATAAAGTGCCTATCTTAAGGACACAAGCGAAATGCACAGTGAAGGATTAAAACAACAACCTCGAGTTTGGGGAACCAAACTATTTCCACTGCGCCGAACCGCCTCCACTGTACAATATGTATACTTGTATTTAATTAATTCTGCTTACATTTTTCTGCAGACATTTCCTAGACATGTGTATACTTGTGAAGACATGACTCATTCTCTATCAGAACTAAAACTCACACCAAGAGGTGTGTTGGTAGCTAGGAAATCAGAAGGCCCACCAAGTAAAGGTAATTATTTTTTTTTGGAATAACGATGTGTATTGTGAATAAAAAGCATTTTTTTCATAAGTTGTATCTCTTTATCTATTGTTTTTGAGCATAAATATATGTTAGTTGGCCAATCTAATGCAAATCGTATATTGCTTATACCCAGACCACACTCTGAATTGTTTTATTTGCACAAAGGATATTTCAAAATCCAACTGCAATTTGCATGGAAAATTGCTAGGAAAGTAAAGTGCGCAATATTCAAACTACTGATTAGTTCATTGGTTGGCCTAATTTTCTGCAAAAATTGCACAGAAATTGGCACTTATTTGCTGAAATGCGTGGACAAGTTTCTGGGCCTAATTCAAGCCTTAATTAACAGTCCGGTACCCGGATAGTTTTGAATGGGCTAATTAACCTGGTATAAAACGCCAACTAATAATAGGTGTCATTAATCTTGTATTCCAGTTCATAGACCAGAAGCTGAGGGAAGCAGTGCAACAACATCATCACCAGCAACAACACCATCAGTATCTTCATCAGTATCAACGTCAACAACATCATCGTCTGTCCACAATCTTAGTGGAGTAGATGTTGCAGGGCGCTTAAATCGTCAGATGCAGTTGATAGCTGACCAGCGTCCACCCCCAAGAGGGCACAACTGGGGAGCTGGACACAGTTTACAGCAACCAGACCAAGAGCAACCAGAGCCTCTGGCCCCAGGCAATGTTGAAATTGCTGTTGATGAAGAAATGCCAGCAGACAATGATATTAATGGTAAGTGTAATACTATGGGAAAAAATTTTGTCATCATCATTACAATTGTCAATATATCACAACACAAGCCAATTTATTTTGTTCATTGTACCATTTATTGATGTCATTCCGTTCCACTTCTTTTCTTTCTATTCATTTTAATTAACATTTTCTTATAATGATAATAATAATAATAATATTAATAATAATATAATAATATAATAATATTAGTAATAATAATTTTAAAAAATGATGATGATGATGATGATGATAACAATGATAACGATAACAATGAAAATGACAAGGACAATAGTGTTTTTTTATTTAATTGAAGCCACAAGCTGCATTGAAAAAATACATAAAATACAAAGTGAGAAAAACTTATTTTAATCCCAGGACAAGCCATTAAGTCAAATGTAGTGACAATAGTGACATAATGGCATTTTTTACTACAGTGACATTATTAACAAGAGTAATAATGTACAAAGTTCAAGCACAGTAGACAATGAACAAAATAAATGTTAACTTGCTACTTACTGTACTGTACTGTACGTTTGTCTTTGTATTATTAAGATGAGTTATTGTACCCTAACCTCAGAATTAATTGCCGGTTGGGGCCAAGCCCAAGGCCAGGTTGGACATCAGCACCCTTGGGGAGGTGGTAACAGGCTCGATGCTGGACCTTTAAACTTTGTTTACGGTTTCCAAGAAGGAGGGCGTGGAAGACAGGAAGGTGTTGAAGAGGTTTCAAATCAAAAAGCAGGTTAGACATGATCATCAAGTCTTCTTAAAATAGATCATCAGCACATCTATACAGATACCCTAGGCCTACTTTTTGATTGATTAGGTAATCTAATTATCTATAAAATATCTGATGATTAGATGATTATTTGTTGTGTATTATACCCGTTTTACACTGCCAATGGCAGAATCGACCCGGGTTACTTCCGGAGTAATCCCGGGTGTATTTCCCATTTACGTTGAACGAAAAAGTCCGGGTTGATCCCGAGTTACTCCCATTTTACACTGGCAACGAACTCGGGTTCAAATACCACCCTCAGTTTTTGTTGCGATGGTGATCATCACTTCGCTCGAGTTCCTCGTCGTCACGAAGCCACAATTATTGTCAATTATTGAAGCATTGTTTTTAAATTATGTAAATTAATTCAGCAGTTTTGATATCAAGTCTATACCAGAGCGTAGAGGGTTTAATTTGACAAGTGTCTAGGCCTAGCCCGTTGTAGGCAAAGTTAAGGCCTATCTGACCACAGCTGTGGTAGTCGCCAGGTAAGGCCTAATTCCAGAATCAAATTCGGTGCTGTTTACACTGGCGAGTCCAGAATGCACCCGGGTTGTCCTACGCTGAATGCGTCCCGCACGTCCCTCCCGGAATGTTTGGCAACCCAAGTAGGACTTTTTTGATGTTTACACTAACCACAACTTGGGAGAGTTTAACCCAGGTATTGGAAAATCCTGGGTTACGTCCGGAATTTTGCTTACAGTGTAAAAGGGGTATTACAAGTCTCCCTCCAATTTCATGGTCTTTAGCAGCTTTGACCTCTAATTAGAATAGTAAAGATAGATGGTGGTCTTTAATTGGAGGGATCCTTAATTTGAGAGAGACTTGTATTTATATTATATAAAACATGCAATACAAATTAATCAAATTGTTCATAGTTCTTCATTTAAAACAGTTATTCACACAAACACCAAATACTTACTGTTATGTGGAAGTTCCCAGCTTGGAGAATTATTAGTTGAGTACATCATTTACACACTAGAATGAGGTGCAAAGTGATCTGACTCCATATCAAGGACATAAAAGAAACTATATTTCCTCTTGCTGTGGAGAATGGCTTTAAGTTACTTGCATGAAATTGAGTTGCTGCTTTTCACAAATTACTAGACTCATTGTTGAATCATAGCCTCCCTGTCATTATGCAGAATAGCATTCATTCTATGTATTCATTTCTTTCTTTGACAACATAATCAGTGGCTTAATTTAGTCATAAAATCAAGATTTTTAATTGTAGTATCATCGCAGTTGACAAACACAATCATCTAACATTTTCCTTCCAGCTGAAGCTGCTCTAAAAAGAATAGAATTAGCCCATCAACAGCCACGGGACCATCCAACAACATCAATGAGGGCAGCAAACATACCATCACTTGTTGACATAACCACAAAAGCTGTTGCAAAGAAGCTAGGAGATCCTAGCCAGTCACCAGCCTCACTGGGTGGAGTACCTCAACAACTAGCAGTAAGGATCATTGATGAGATGAAGAAGGAAGGAACACTACGGCCTAGAACTATGCATATATTTCTCTCATGGTAAGATCTGATTGTACGTGATTCTATTCTGTGTTACATTTACATAGATGCCAATTTGCAATACTGTCAACTTTGAAACTTCTGTTGGGAATATCGTATTAATTGTAATACAAAATCTATTTGTTTTGCAATATAACTGTACATGTCCATGACACATTCGGTGCTTGAGCATTATAGCTTTGAAAAGACTAAAATGCACAACTTTGATGTCAAATGAGTGAGACTTAGTAGGTTTGCATTCATCCTACTTTCGTATATGGCCTAATAAGCACTGAAACATTTTATACAATTTTCATAGGCTTCAGTGTCACTGTTGTGAGGGTGCTGTTTATTACAAATTGTTGGAGTATTAAAATGGTATAATGTGCATAGACAGAGACTTCTTGCCATCCTAATATTACTAATTTCTTGGAAAATATGTTGTTTAATTGTTTCTCGATGATGCAAAACATACATATGCATGTCATACCATACCCATGTGGCCAAGTAACAGGTATAAAATTTGATAGTGTGTATAGTAGTGGTGTTAGTACTACGATCGTTTTAACACATGTGACCATTATTTTTCAGTCACCTGACTCACTGTGTTTTAGATTGTTACAGCTATGCCACCAATGAGCTGTTACATGCTCTACGTTTCCATAACAACATTCATCACCTGAGTTTATGTTCCTGCAGTCTCATTAGTGATGCTGGGCTCACAATACTTCTTCCAGGTAAGTATTCAAACACACCCACTAGTAGTAATAGCCTTTTATTCAGCTAGAGATACTTTAGAGGATGCCGGTGGCCGTACATGCTGATGGTAAAGGATACATATCTTTTCCAAGGAGACTTTGGCCTACACAGTGATAAGAAAGAGAGGAAAGATGTAAATCAAACCTGGGAGTTATCTGTTATGTGTGAAATTATCAAGAGGCTTAGATGCAAATTATTATTATTTCAGTAAAAGCCACTAAAATGTTGGTTCCATTATTGAGTTTATAAATAACTCATCCATTAGATTAATCAAAATCTGTGTGACCAATTTGTATATTCAATAACAGTTTAGAAAAAAATATGATCTTGGGTAAAAAAAAATTGTACATATAGTCCAAAAGTATTAGTTACACCACCCACTTTCATTTTAATTATTTATATTAAAAAGGTACAGGAAGGCAGTTAATAATGTCTCTGATTTTATGTGCTCCCTCTCATGTTTTTTAAAATATAGGTTTGAAAAAATTGAAGACTCTGAAGTTAAATTTAAATCCACAAATCACAGATAAGGTGCTTGAATATATTACAGGTAAGTGATAGTGCTATCCAGAGCCAAGATAATTGATTTGTAATACATGGAAATTGGTTATTGTAAAACAAAGAAAATTATAAGAATGAACTTATTTACAGTAAATAATTGTTATAAAACAAAACAAAAAAACTTACTCTGAAAATAAATTTTTAACCAATTTAAAAAGAAATGAGAATAATATAGGTATGATATTATTATTTATCCCTCTGTTGAATATTTTCTCCTTTTAATTTCTGAAACCTTACAATGAACAATGCAATGGTCAATTCAACTTTATATGTTTTAGCTCAATACAGGCATTATATCTTTCATTGTTGTTTAATATGAATTGAAATGAAATGGTCATAATTATGTTTCAAGATTTGAAGCAATTAACAGCAATAGGCTTAGAAGGTGCCAACATCACAGATAGAGGAGTTGAGAACCTTGCTTGTCTCTCATCCAGTCTTACTCATGTGAATCTAAGTAAGACTCGAATAACAGATGCTTCAATATCAATTCTAGCAAGTAAGAATTTCCATCGACTTATTTTTTTTTTCAATATTTTATTGAATAGATGAGTACAGGATATTGCGGGATATTTTTTTTTTGTGGTAATTGGCTCATTTTCATTCATAATATTCTGCTGTGCATCATATTATCAATCTTCAATTATGCTGGAACAATTTCTCAACTTTTCTTTTTGCAAGTAAACTTGGGTTAACCTACAGAATTGAGTTTAGATTATAGTATTTATATTTGTTGTAGTGTTTTTGTTCATTTGCTTGACACAGAATCGAACGCAATTTCTATGCATTCATTGAATATATAATATACAAATGACTACAACAAAGATTCTAATATTGATTGTCAAATATACAGATTAGTTACAATGAAAATTATTTGGCTAGCAATGAAATAAATATGTTAAGTAATAATAATTCTATATATTTGCAATCGTAAATTCAGAAATACATTTCTTCATTATTCTCACAGATTTAAGCCAACTAAGATACCTCGCAATAGAACAAACACAGGTAATGATGTTTGAATAACTGTTCAATTAAATAAGCCTATATAAAGTAAAGTGTAGTGTATATAGAATAATGTTAACCCAGGCAATGCACATCCTGTTCCACATATGGTGGGGTCAAAATTATTGTAAGAATTACATTTCATAAATTTTTTGCAAAATACTTGGGGTGTAAAATATTTGTTATCATCAATGAAATATGGAATATACTTGAAGCGTAGTGCTTCTGTATTTGTAACATTGTAATAATAGATATTTCATATTACTTTTCTCATTTTTTTGCATTTTTAGGTCACAAATCTTCTGCCATTGCAGTGTCTGTCAAATCTGGAGTCTTTGAATATTGGGTTCACATGTGCAGGGTCAGACAGCTTGGTAGGCTTGCAGAAGCTACCAAACCTAAAAGGACTCAATCTCAGCTGTATCCATAGCATGGAGGGTGATGCAGCTTTAGCTTGTCTAACAGGTTACACTTTTTTATATGTATTCCAAATTTTAAAGATGTAATTGCTACATGGGTCAACGTAGGCTACTAATATCCACTTATGGATAAAGAAAATAGTAATACCATAATATAACTGTTTTAATGGTCATTATTTAGGTATCCACCACACAAGCACTCATTAAAATTAATGTCTGTATTGCTGCCTAAATGTCATTGCCTTGATAGGATACTGCACAATTTGATCTAACCATCTCCCCTTCCTTGGGAAGTGTTGCAATTACGTAATATGAATTCGCGCACTGACTGAATCTTTGACTAAATGTATATGGTACTTATCTATTTTAGTTTTGAGAAATGAAGAAATGCTATCCCCAAACACATGAAGAAATAAAATATCTTTTCTTTCTTAATTTAGGTATGCAATTAAGGCACATTCAACTTCCAAGTAGGCACACAACAACAGACTCTGGATTACAGTGCATTGCAGGTAAATTTGAGCAGCTACTCTAACTATAAGTACAGACTTAGGAAAGCTGTACCGTTGTGGGTAGATTTTATGTTATTGCAGCCAAAATAAAAGATCCACTACATATACATGTGGTTATAGAGATTTAGTTGTATGTTTTAAACAGTGTAGAAGATATGCTTGTCCTACTCAACACCTGTTCATACAGCCCCATTCAAGGCAAGATACTCATCCTTGCTCTGTATTGGCTCAACTTTTACTTTCATCCAACTCTTTCACTGATATAAGCAAGCAGTGAAATAATATTCCAGGCTATCTTTGACAAATCTTTCAAATGTAGTTTAAGGGTGTACCTTAACATCTTTCTGTTCTGATTTTCTCTTTTGTTTTTGGTTTTTTTTTATTAGAGTTCTTGGCTTTATAGCCTTTAGATAAATGTTTCTGCTGCTGAAAATCAATATAAATTTATAATAATTTCAAATAAAAGTATATTAAAAATTCCAATTAAACATATGTAGTGATACAATAAGAGATTTATGAAAACGTTTTTGCTGCAATACCCAGTCTTATAATATATTGATGAGTCTACATTGTGGCCTATTGTTTTAAGGGATGGCACTGGTGGAGCTTGATCTGTCAGATTACATCAACATCACGGATGATGGCATCCACCACCTAGCAGACATGACAAGGTCAGCAACTAGCTATCAAAGCAACTGAAGAGTGTTTGAAAAAAGTGAAATGGGCAGTATTATGAATGAGAAAGGAGTGTTACGCCAGTCACTGACTGCGTCGTACCACTGCTGATTGTCGGTGGTAGTCGGAACGGGTCTTCATTAAAAGCAAATCCATTGCACGCACATCGCGTAAAGTCGTGCCGGCCAAAGACAGTCTGGCGCAGGGAGTGCCCATTAGCTTTAGAACTTATAATTTTCTTTTTTCTATAGAATAATTAAATCCTATTTATTGAAAAATGAACTCTAGGACAAAGGAAGTTTGATATTAATTTATTTGGAACACTCATTATTGTAAAGGGAACATTTATAAATGGTAATTGCTTATTGTAAGTTTAAAGAAAATCTAATATGGTAGTTGATGTTCATATTATTGATGATGATAATAAGATGATGACAGCAGCAGCTGCAGAGATTGTGACAATGACGATTATATGACATTAGACTGATGATATGATCAGTATATGTAGCCTTACCTCCAACTCACTGAAGGTGCTGTCACATACAGATTTTTCTTTCCTATCCACCTATATTCTCTGCAGCCCTTTAAATACATTTGTAAAAATCTTAGTGGTATCTCCCTCTCTCAAATAAAGATACTTAAAATGGTAATTGCCATTTTGTCAATTGCATTATGTACTTCATTGACAATTCTTTATCTTCAGTTTGAGGAAATTGTCTCTAAGTAATACAAAAACTACAGATGTTGGCTTGGCCTATTTGCAAGGTATGTAGAAAACATAAAACACCTTAATAATTCTATGCTATGACAGAATGAAACAAATATATGATTTAAAAGTCAAAGAACTTTACTAGAATTTAAATTCATAAAGAAAAATTGAGAATAAACATTAGTAAGTTTATTTTGTAAAGAGTATTAGTTGAGTAAACAAAATGAAGAAATAAACATTTTAGTGAGTTTATTTTGAAAGCAGTATTAGTTGAGTAAACAATTAGTAGACAATATGTGTGAGCCTAGAACTTGGTTCAATATCATTCCTGATGTTCTTATATTATTTCACCTGTTGAGCTAAAATGTAATTGAAAGTTTCATTAGAGGCATTTACGTCATTGGTCCTGTATACTTTAAGGAAGCTCATGGTTTCCATACAATCGCTACACGGTATCCAATTGCGTCGGTGACTGCTACGCAGCACAACGATTGCACTGAAAACTCTGTGGCGACAGTGTAACGATTGTATGGAAACAACGCTTTGCTCAAATGCTGATCAATCACCCTTAGTCCAAATGTACAAAATACAAACACCTGCACTATATACAGGTAGCAGAATTCAGCTGTGAAGTCTTCATTACAATACAAATACAAAAAAACTACTAATAGAAATTCGTTTTTATAGGCCTAACAGAGCTTCAAGGGCTGACCCTTGATAGGACCAATGTTACTGATAAGGGTGTGGTTCTACTTGGCTGTCTCACTAAGCTCTCAATGCTAAGTCTCTCATCCACTCTCATCACTAGTAAAGTGCTCAAGTCAGGGGCGTTGAATCGGTGCCATATGCTCAACAAGCTGAACTTAAGCAGGTCAAAAGTCTCAAATTCTGGTAAGTGTGATATGCTACATAGAAGGATTTAAACATCTTCAGTCCTCAATGAACCTTAGAAATAAAATACAAATTTGGGCTTTTTGAAAGTTAAAAATCTCAAACATTAATGATATAGCCCACACAAAAATCAAGAAAAAAAGGACCTTAAACATTAATTTGAACAATTATATTTGCTCACTTTCAATAAGTCACAGATTAAAAAGAAAAATCAGTTTTTTATAATTTACTATAATCTTTTTGGCAAGGATTTTTTATTTTGCAGTTAAATGCTAACATCTTACATATAAGCAATTTATTTTCAAGTATTTTGTATAAGAAGTTACTTGCAATAAAGGCAGTATATCTGTAAGGTTTACTCAGGTGTTTTAATTTATATTTATTTGATAATGTCTTGATTGCACTGTTGCATTCCACTTTCATAAAGCCAATAAAAAAAACCTATTTAATTTTTTCCAACCAATTTAAGGCTTAGCCCACTTGAAGTTACCAAACTTAACGTTACTGAATCTCGACTACACTTTTGTGACCCTGTCTGCCGCCAACAGTATCAAGCATTGTCCAAATTTGAAAGTAGTGCGGGCTAACAATCTTAGAGTAAGACCAATTGATGAAGCATCTGATTCAGACTGACAATGCAGGCAAGTGTATGTACTGGCAAAAAAATCTTCACATCAGTATTCCATCAAGAGTAATGTCTGATTATTATTGTAATGTCATTATTGTCAGCATGTACAAATACATTCATCTGGTTTAATGTATTAGACAATAATTTAGTATCATCCAAACACAATGACATTGACTTGGGGAAGCTTTTTTCATTATCAGCAGAGCCTGAAAATATAATGATTACATTTTGTACATAAAAGATGGTTTTTCTTTTATTTCTTTTAAATATTGAAAATTCTGCTAGACGAAGAAACTAATTTAAGGAATGGTGCTTTTTAATCACAACATTATATTGTAGATAATAAATTCATGTAGATGCAACAAAAATTGTAATACTAATAGATGAATAATAGTAATTAAAAGATGTAAACCCTAGGAAGGATACATGTGACAGTATTATATGCTTCCCTCTGGGTATTTTTTAAATTTTATTCAATTATTTTCTTTATTTTATTGTAATAATAATACAGCTTATAATTATTAAAGTATTCTTCCTTATTGCGAAGTCCAGTACAAAAATATATATAAATATATTAAATAGCACATATCACAAAAACACAATTTTAACTACTGTACATACACTTACAGCAGACATTAATTTCTTAAAACCTTAGATATCAAAATAACTAACAGGGTTAAAACCGATAGAGGAAATACAATTTGAAATTCATGGTTCTGTGTTTTTTGTTTTTTTGCATTAATGGTCTACAACGCATTCCTTGTTCCTCAATGTTTTTAATTTTTTACTGCAGCACATTTTCAATCATATATAATACTGTATATATTTCTTCAAAGATGAGCTAATACACGTGGGAAATAACCAGCTAAATTTCAGCTACTACAGATATTATAATTATTATTATTGATAATAAGTTGTACGACTCCGATTTAGGAGGGTTGTTGGAAAGAATTATAGTTTTATTTTGAATTGATTACCATACTATTATTGTACATAATGATACTGGTGTAGATGATGCTGAGTTCCTGTCTCTTGTACACAGTATGTTAGATATACGACACACTTGAGGATTTCAATAAATCTTACTGGAATAAACTTGAATACTTCACAAGTCAGTCTATATTGTTTTATTGTAAAGGTGTACTATACTTATTGATATAAAATATTAGGAATTAAATAAATTACAATTGATAAGGTTTAATTAATAAGAACTCATGAGTATGGCATTTTGTTGAAAAATAATTTTGTAGACAAAACAATTAATAGAAAGGAAATCTTGTTTTTTGAACAATGTGTTTTGTTGAGGTGTTGCTCTGCAAATGCAACAATTTCCAATGTTTCCATTTGGGAACCAATATCGATAGCATACGTCCTAAAGAATCTGAATTGTCAGCAAATGTTCAAGCCAAATTACTGTCGGAACGAAAAGACCATGCGTATCACATTACAGGCCGACTTGCCAGCATTATTTTTCTACATTGACAAACATAAGCAATTCTTTGGTCACGAAGAAATAGTGACAAAGAATGATTTGGCTTTATTTATTTATTTAAATATGACTTGCGGAGCCTCATTTGTGTTTAGTATGGCATCATACCATATGAGTACATTTCTTTTTTTAGTTTGAATACTTTTTCGACGATGACAAACTTCAACAATACTAATAATAATAATAATTATGTCTAATTCTTAATAATTAATAACTAAAAATATGTTAACATATTGTAAACCAGAAAAAAGAACTTTTAATTCATAATATTTTTGTGTAGGCTAATTATTGTTTGTTAGTAGATAAAGCATGTGCTTTATTCCATTCCATAAATTATACTTCATTTGTCCATATAATGACATACATAAATATGTTGTCCGCCGGCAAAATACCCACAATAAATACACCTACCTACAGAAAAAAGGATTGCACTACGTCAAAGGTGGTATGAAAAATTGCCTAGTTTCACCGAAAACATGAGTACATAAGTCATGGACAGTGTTCACCCGATGCCGGAACTTTGCCCCTAAACTAAAACGACCAGAATGAAATATTAAAATCCAATTCAAAATCACTGAGGCTTTTAGTTGGAATGTATGTGTGAAAAACAATTGAATTCCAGTCATTCGTTGACAGAATTTTTATTATAATCATTAAATTTGATTAATGCATATTTTATTCAACAGCCGATATTGAGTTGGAAGTGTTCACAATTGTATACATAAACCAGCTCAAAACACAGCCCAGTTTTCGAAGTCAAACCCGAACACTTCACTTTAAAACCAATTAATTTTCTTCACTGCATGATAAGTCATTCATTGTTTTTGTATTACATACTTACACCCAACGGGTTCTATAAACTAATAAGGGATCGGGAGACTGTTCCCAGGTTAAGTTCTGTAGATGACGTACGGTGTAAAGAATATAACTCAGAAATAGTAGTTCAACAAAGCTATGTATTGCATGCGGCTCTGTAACTGATTATTGCAGAATAACCAAATCACTCAGAAACTAGGTTATAAAACACGATTGAAAATACAGTATGTGAATAATTAATTAATTCAGTCTGGAGATCGTAAACATTTTCTGCGGAATTTGTGACAGAGATGCTGTTCCGAAATGAATGCATGTACTTTATGTTATAGCAAATGGGTTGAACGGTACTTTTACATAATCTCTGTTGTTTTTACTGCACCTACTAGTATATTCCACCTTCATTGTAATTCGGACTTTCCCCTACTGTCGTTTTGTACCACTTAATGATATTTAGTTTAGAGCACCACTTATTACATTGCAGTGGTGGATTCAAGTGGGGGCCGCCACGGCCCCCCACCCCCTAAATTTTCCAAAATAAAGAATGGAGAAAAGAGGAAAATTATTAAATTTAGGTCTGAGAGTGGCATTTAGGTCATCTAAAGGTGCCAGAATCAGTGGTGCCGGGGCATACGGGGCAAGTGCTCCGAGGGCCCGGCCCGACAGGGGCAATGGATGCTAGGTAGCCTAAAATATTTTTTTTTAAAAACGATTATCAAAGACGTGGACCCTGGACATCGTCAATATACAACATACACAAAATACAAATAGACTTGATAGAGATTCGATTTTTCAAATAAATACTAAATTAATATATTAAACCATCCAGCGGTGGATTAAAGGGGGACCACGCACCCCTCATTTTTCTCAAAATTTACAAAAATTGAAAAGACATTCTCTAATTTTTAGTTTAAGAGTACTATTTCCGGCCGTCCACAGATGCCATAATCATGAATTGGGAACATGGTGGGGCTGCGGAGATAGACCCTCTATCAGTGAAAGTCCTTCTCTGTGCCCCCTCTATTTTAAATTCCGTAAACTTTGATATGTTATGAATCTTTTTGGCTATACGTTGAATAAAAGGAAGGATAGCTTTTACTTTTCATTTTTCTATACTTCACTTTATTTTTCATGACCTGGTGAAATAAGCACTCTAATCGATTAAATTAGTCCTCTAATCCGTTAGTCATCTAGTCTTCTAATCCACAGGGTATCTGCCCGACGATCCCGATTGGGCCCTGCGGCCCCCAAACCCCCAGGCAATGGGCCCGGGCATCACAGCTGCCCCAGGGCCAACGGCCGCTTTCGGCAGCCATGGCTAGAATCATAATTTTTCTTACCTCAGCCCCCCCCCCCCCAACCATGGTGGGCCTGAGGTGGTCCTCGCCTCTGTGAAAGTCTTTCCCTGCCCCTCTATTTCGAATTCGATTCCCACTGCATTGTGTAAGGGAGAGCAAATAGGCCCTTTGATGACTAACTCACTTGTAGACCTAATTTTCTTTTTCTCTCTTAAATATTTTCTTACAAGCTCTCAATTATCATGGAAATTAGACGAATGATTTGAAACACACTGTCTTGCCCATATTCATAAATCAGGAAATACTGTACTTCGCAATAATATAGTATGTAAATGCTTTAGGAAATATGAAGTTTGGGCCGAGGTGGTCCCGACCCTTTTTCTGTAAATTTCCTTCCATGGAACCCTCTATTTCGATTTCCTAAATCCGCCATCGTACTCATTCTGATGATACCGCAGCCCATATAGGCCTACAGGACTGGACTTAGAAATCATGTGACGGAAAGACTTACAGTAATTGTATTGATTTTGTATCGCACTGAATTTGATGGCACTCGAATATAGGCCTAACACACTCATTACCGTTTTATGCCTATTAGCATTTATAGAATGCGCACTTATGAATGAATTGATGGTCCTCCTACGAATGATATTTATTGGCTATTAGTATTCATTTGTCATTATTTCTTGATATATATTGAGCGCTTATAAACATGTTTGCACTAATGGGCTTTCACTATGGTCATTCGATATGTTGGCAATTATGTGAAGTTTACTATCGGCTTCAGTCTCTGATCTCTAGGGATATCCACTTTGTGATCATGTGGACGTATGTAGGAGGCCACACGACACTGTCCTGTTCGAGCATCGTACACGTTCTCGACAAGAACCTGCCTGAAAAATGTAATCCGGAGTAACACTGACATGTAAATCGAATAAAAATAAATAAACCGAAAATTACAGAGCAGTTTAGCCAAGCCAGATCTCTACCAATTCATAGCATATATATTTTGCTCAGGAATTCTTTCTGGACGACGGTTATGAATTTTTGATAGTTTCTATTTCTTGTGATCAGCCTCATATGGTCCTACCTTTATTCAACAAAAAAAAAGAAATATCAATAGCAGTAAGTTACAACTGAAATGAGGCTTGCTCTGCATATAAAGGCATCCATATTAAAATATTGAAACGACAACATAAATTTGAACATTTTCAAAAAGATATAAATCATTTTAAAATTACTTTTGAACTTTGGTTAGAAGAGCAGTAAAATCGAAACAAGAGGGATTTTTTAAACAAAGCTATAAACAGATCATTTGGTGAAGTTATTTGGTAATCCAGTTGTAACTGGTATACAAGGTATGAGTTTGGTCTGATGATCATCTACTTAACCAGACAGTAATTTGTATAAAAACTCTCCCATTTGACGTATCGATGATAATATCATAGGATGAAAACATAAACACTGTAAGATAATCTTTAGTCCGACATTCCAACATATACATATGTGAGTTTCCTTTCATCCATGATATCAAAGTATATTAACCATCTGCCAACGCTCGATGTCGACTTTTTGTCTACAAGCAACTTGTAAATATATCTGCCACTTGATTCACAAGCGTAATATTCATCTATTTCTTAGAACTATAAGAATCGTATACAATTATGAGGGCAGTATACCTAATAAGTTGTTGTTTGGTTCGTCCGCATTTGAAAACCATTGTTGATTCATTCCATTACACGATTGATACATTTTTTTTCCCATGAGCAATTATACAATTCTATTATGAACGCGAAATAAACACGCTGCATATTAAATAATAAATTTATAACTATCACAATATCTAATGCTACAAAACCCAACTCAGAGAAGAGAAATTAGCCCGAATAAGCAATACCGGTATGTGATGATGATAATGGAAATAATACAAATTATAACAATAATAATAATAATAATTATTATTATTATTATTATTATTATTATTATTATTATTATTATTATTATTATTATTATTATTTATAGTGATAATTATATAGTGACGATAGTATTAAAAAATATTATATTATAATTTTAGATTTCATTTTTATTGTTACAGGTCTCCCTGATGATAATGGAAATAATACAAATTATAACAATAATAATAATAATAATAATAATTATTATTATTATTATTATTATTATTATTATTATTATTATTATTATTATTATTAATATTATTATTATTATTATTATTATTATTATTATTATTATTAATAGTAATAATTATATAGTGATGATAGTAATAAAAAATATATTATAATTTTAGATTTCATTTTTATTGTTACAGGTCTCCCTCCATTAAAGACAATCTCTAATAACCACTTTTCTGTGGTCCCATATTAACGAATGTTATGTTTATTATTCTAATTAGAAACCAAAGCTGCTAAAGACCATGGAAACCCCGGCCCCAAAAGTGGTTTTAATTGGAAGGAGCCCTGTGTTAATATTTTGATATACTGTCAATATTATTCGAGCGGAGCCATCCGTTTACACTGAACATCTACGAAAATCAGCTTTGTTCTGTACTTTTCTTCAATGATCATTAGACCTAGGTATCTGTTGAGAGTAATCACAGTGCCCACGTTTATTTAGTCCTGTGTGATACGGTACGCAAGTTCGCTACTAGATAAGACAAAATCAAATGTAGTACCGTAGATCGAAATACAATATGCCTATTAAAATCACGTTATTCCTCATAAAGAAAAAGCATCGCCTATTATGGTAGTCCGACATGTCAAACGTATACAAGGGTTTCCTATCAATAAAAAAGACAATGCAAGGCACATAAATAATTTTACAATATAAAATGGGGTATGCAGAGAAATAGAAAAACTATGATTTACATTAAATACACAAGTTGAAAAAAAAGATAATAATATTTTTTTTAAAATTGTAACTATTAGCTTACCGCACACCAGTGGTGAGCCATTTAAATCAAGCGAAAATTTCGCTAGTTATAAAAATTGGAGGACCACTATTCAAGACTTGCTAGTCATAATCATGAATAGTGTTCACTAAAGTCGTGAAAATCTCCTAATCATATAAAAGAAGTCTTATGACGTTTTGTTTGAGGGAAGCAGAGAATCGACTGAAGTGGAGGAGGAGGGTGGAGTTACGACTATCCCCCTCACCTTTCAAAACAGATCTGCGCCCTTGTGTATGATGTTAATTTTAACCCAATTTAATCAATAAATTAAAGAAAAAATAGGATATCTATAATCTACATGAGGGAAATGAGCATGACACAATTGAGGAAAACACGTGCTCATCATCACTCTTATCTCTGACGAGTTGACGTCATGATTATTTTCGGGCTAGCCATTATTATTATACCTGTGAAATAATTATGTATTACGCAACTATGACGTAGCAAATAACAATTTCATTCTTCATACTTTGAATCGTTTTAATATGTGTTATAAATTTACTGATTTACTATTTGATTGTTCAACACACCTGACGTCAATCATTAACAATCGCTTAATAGGCTAGCTCAAATTGTAAATGAATTTTCATTAGGTTAATGGCAGCCAAGATATCACCAGGACGCCTTTTAGGAGCGGCTGCGTAGATGGGTTTCACCATCGCAGGGCCTACACCGAAATTACCAATATTAGGGCCTAATCTGTACATTAAACCAAATATTACTCAATGACCCAACTGCCGATATGTATCATGTATGTATATACTGTATATGATTATAATTTAATGTGGCTGACTCGGACTAAAATTTGCGAGAGTATAGATACATGCACTTTAATTTAAATAAAATCCTTACGTTCAAAACGACTGATGTACGGATAAGTACTATGAATTGAAGGTCATTTAGTACCAGAAGCTATAATCTGAAACAGGGAAATAAATCATTATTTACATGAATTACGGAAAGCTCTTTAACGGATATTCATAGAGTTCAGTAGATATTAAACTGAATTTTCGGTGCAAGTGTACGTTTTACCCATTTATATATATATATATATATGTATATGTGTGTGTGTGTGGGGGGGTGTGGGTGTGGGTGTGGGGTGTATAGGCCTATATATAAACAAATGGATAAATAATGATAGCAGTATACAGTGCTGGAATAGGAAAAAGGTGTTGTAACCTTATCAAGCATTACCACTTCAACGAACAGTCTATTTTGTCGCTTTACATACCATAAATCAAGTGTTTTATTTAATATCTACAAAAATCTTGACTTATCTTTACAAATACTTAGGGTGAGGGCATATCATATTGATCTATTATAGTATTTTGTAGGACTAGTGCTGTTCAACCGCATAAGTTAAATCAGTTACCTCAAATCAGCTGCCAAAAAAAAATCAACCTTAGCAAATGTTTTTCGCATCAAGCTACAAAACACAAATGGAAAATCATTAAAATTAATGCAAATGAAATCGGACACTCAGTTGATATGAATAATAAAAAACGTTAGATTAGATGTGTTAAAAGTGCGGTTCGCTAACTCATTAGCCGCTAGTCAGTGTTGAATAGGAGGAACGAATTAACAAAACCACCAGTCAGTGTATTGACGTTGTGTGTGAAACAGAGCGTAGATTATTAATCCAATGCTCAGTTTGCTGACTCTGTAGATAGAGTAACAAGTCGGTGAATAGCTCTCATCAGAAACAGTGCTTTCATTTGACGATAAACGCGCCTACGGTAAAGGTGGCTCATTCCAGGGACGGTCTGGCAGGTAGGACTCCTTAATAATCAATTCAAATAATCCTTCATTATTTTAAATAAGTCATCTAATGATAACTGAACCGTTTAGTAGGCCTACTGAGGAATTTCATTATTCTACCGATTTATTATAACAATTATTTCCTGCTCTCCGCACAACGGTAGGCCTATTACTCTCCTCGTCACCATAAAATTATGTTAAATTTTCACTACTTTTAGGGTACAGTGGGGCGTGATAGAAGAGCTAAGACTAAAAGTAGTTATCATCCGATTTTAAAACATAGGTAAACCAGGGTTAAACCGTGTCTCTGACACAGACAGTTTGACGTTGCTGATTATATTACGCTTATAATATAATTATTGTTCGTTTTATCTAGTATAGCGCATCCAAACGTTTACTACGATGGATCAATTCGTATTAGTCTTAGGCCTATTGTCAAAATTCAATTATTGCCTTCTCGCTACTTTCAAACACCATGCCAGGATCATTATAATTAAATGTTTGTTTAAGAAGAGAAAAAAGTCCAATGAACCATTGTGGGTCTTCCCGTATAATGCCTGCAGATTAAATCCTATAGTGAATTCATTCTATGAACCCGTTAAGACAGATAAATGAGCCTACCCGTATAGTTTCTCAACTGATGCTACATTTAGAGGACGAAGGATTACTAATGAATTGGCCTACTGAATTTTGTGTGTAGGTTACTCTCTTGTCAGTCACAGTACTCTAAACGAATTCCTCATTTTACAACGAAGACTCGATACTTAACATAATAATAATAGAGCGATTAGTGTTTAAGAACGAGCTTAAGATATCAAGCATCCTTATATGACTGGAGCCAAAGAGGTAGGTAGGCCTAAGCAGAGTCAATCGGAGATTCAGATTTCTAAAGGCCGACAAACTGGTCGCCGAGAAATAGTAATCAATTTTGAATTTAACTAATATCTTAATTTATATCATGAATCGATTGACTTTGACATATCGACGTGTTGTAATCGTAAGCTCATTTATAGCCTCATCAATAGTTTCTAGGTTAATAGTCGAAATGTATATTCCTAGGCCCTGTCCATATACGACCGGAAAGATTTATGGTAATGGGTTCCTGATAGCTCTGAATACAGTGGCTTCATATTGTATTTTTACAGCACTTAAACGTACACCGTATTCTGTAAAAGAAAGAAATATACTTTCATTGTAATATTTTTCATTGTAGCAGTAATGGCCGAGGTAAGCCTACGTACATAGGCTATTGCATTTAAAAGACCACTCACATATATTACACGGTACAGTATCTTCTATCTATTCATTATACACTTAATAATGGGCCGATAGGTATGTTCGATCTCGTTTTTAGGCATTTATTCAATTTAATCCATACATGTACTTTATTGTCATTTACAAGTTAGCATTACATTGCACTATGTCTCTTTACACTGGTTGCTATTCATTTTTAGATATTTATTTATATTTATTTTATCATTTTTTACAAATCACTGCTGACATGAAAACAGGGGCCCAGTCCCCTTCAGTGATCATGGTATTTACGGTTAAGCCTAATAAGGTACGAGTATTATTTTTATGACGTCAGAGTGGAGTATGCTACATTACTACCGTACAATATGGTACCGGCATGTCTTTTATGATATGACAACATAATAAATTTCAAGGCCACAATCATTGATGCCACAGTTAAATTAGTGAGGACCTCTAGAGATCCATATTGTAACATGATAGTTGAGGCCGCTTAAAGAAAGTGAGTTGGATTACAAGACCCCCAGAAGGATGTCTCTCTTTTCTTCCCCACTCCACCAGCAGGAATCCACTGGAAATTTGCTAAGCGAAACAATTACCGGTACATTATATATCACCGCATATCAAATCATTCCAGTAGCGCCCCCTAAGTTCCCATCCCATTGAGGCCGCTTAAAGAAAGTGAGTTGGATTACAAGACCCCCCCCCCCCCCACTCGTTCCTCCCATTTTTATACTCAAACCCTTGAATGAGGCACAGTAAAATACGCGGCCAATTTTGCATACAGTACACGCTTGCTGGTAGCGTAGATGATGCGCGAGCGAACAATATCCCTTCCGATACCACGCGAGGAAGCTTTGTTATTACTGTTATGTTCATCATTTAAAATTTACTGCTAATAAAATCCCTCGAATATCAGCGACTAAGCCTTAACTTTAGACTCTGTTGAACTTTAGACATTTTATCGATGTATTGTAAAGGTTTTCGGTGGCAATTTGTCGGTGGAAAGTTCGTTCTATACCTCGGGCTACATACACTAAAGTTGTTAACGCTCTGCGCATATGCTTTTTCTAAGAGCTCAATACCAATAGGCTGTAGGGGCTTGTCTATGTCCATTTGTAATGCTCAGAACTTCAAAATTATAATAATTATTTGAATTAGTAAGTGCTGAAAGTACAGCCCACTTACATAATTTATATCGATCACAAAAAAATAGGCATCACAAAAAAGGAAAAAAAAAATTTGCAAAATCAATGCAATTTTGAGCCATTACATTCAGTACATTAGTGCTGTCAAACGCGTCACATCAACGGTGAAAGTATGTTTGTTCTATTAATTCTGATGTCACCAAGTCATCATTAATGTTGATTGCGTTCTTTTTATTTCGGGTTATTCAACCATGACACTATTATCCCTCCATGATTCAATTTTCTCGGATTGAAATTCATGCCAATGCCAATTAAGTCCGCAATACCATGGCAACGCTTCACGCGCACATACAAAACATTGCGAACTTTTCCTCTAGCTATGCCCCTAGCTAGCTATCGGAAATATTATTAACGTCTGTCTCAGTTTGTAATCAATGATCACTAATATCTATTCGTTGACATTTCTCTACTATAAACAAAACGCATGTCATGTCCTAGATACAACCAAGTGCATTGTGTAGCTCGTGAAAAAACAGCATCCGTTATTATTTCCAGTTATCAAAACAGTATAGCACTATATAATGCTCATTTCCTTATTTATTTCGGATATTTTTACATGTCATCCAATTTAATATACAAGTTTGTGTGTTAAACTTATTTATCTTAATGGTATGTATATAAAATCGTTTTCAGATGATTACTGATTTTCTTTTTTAATTTCATTCTTTATTCAATAAAATAGTAGAATGAAACATTACATCACAAGTTACAGTTTGGAAGACCAAGCATATATAATAATGCAGGGCACTAACTAAATAATTTAAAAAAAATAATAAAACAACAGTGTGAAAAGAACAACACACACTTACGTACGATTCCCCAACACACAGAAAAAAAATCCTCTTTTGTATGATTTACAAATTAGACCTAGGCCTATGTGTGTCTTTAGGAAATGGTTTTATTTCCGATTTTGGAAGAAAGCGAGTTTAATTTTGTTTTCAAAATTATTATTCTGGGGATCAGAAAGAATATTATACAGGAATGAAATTAATTATTTCATCATTTAAATTTATTCCAAGGAACCAACAAAGGGAAACTTTTATATTCTTATCATGTTGATAAACGGGATACGATGTTACTCTAATAATTGTTTGATATCGCCCACGGCAGCAATCGATGTTGCGTTGTTTCCATAGCAACCCTAAACAATGACTGATAATAAAACCAGCAATAAAGATGTAATGTAGGAGCTGCTTTAGAATTATTCAAACTAAATTACATATGATAGCTTGATAGCCTACTTATGTAGCTAGTCCGTGTAAGAGAGTTTGGCCGCGCATCATAGGTCAGGGTTGGGATGCTGGTCATTCACTCAAACGGCGGCGGAACGTTTTTGAAAGTGGGAGCCATTTCATGAGGTACGGTAATAAAATCCAGTACGCGAGCGAAGCGAGCATCTTGTCTGGGGTATCTGGGATATCCTTGACAATGGTATGGTATTCCCCGACGAAAACTTCTCTTAGAACACACCCTTAACCGTCCGCGCCATTCATGCGACGTGCACTATTACGATAGTGGTAAATGGCAGTTATGTACATTCCTTGCTGAAACCCCTGTTTTGATTTGTAGGTTAGGGGGAACCATGGGGTCCAACTTAAAAAAGGGCGATGAACGTTTGTTGGAAATCCCCTCTATTTTGTGTGTCAAAATGTCCTGCACGTCCGTTAAAAATTAGCGACGCTGGACGCTTTTAAAATTTGAAACCCCTGTTTTGTTTTGTTCTGTAGGTGTGGGGGGAACCCTGGGGTCCAACTTGAAAAAAAAAATGGCGATGAACGTTTGTTGGAAATCACCTCTAGTTTATGTGTACAAAATTTCATGCACGTCCGTTGGACGCTGGACCTTTTAAAGTTTTTTTTTTAAATTTTGGTAACAACAACAACAAGAACGAGCACATCAGTGATTCTCCTGGGTCAGCGAAAAAAATATTATTTGTTAGTCAACTGAACTGTTTATACCCGTTATTAAACAATAATTATACAGCCTTTGACACGGATAGATTTATCTATTTCGACCTATTTAAATAGCGAGGCACAAGTTTACGAACTCCGATGTTACGTTGACGCAATCTCGCCATGACGTCATGATAATGATAAATTAGGTTAAATCATATTTATGTTTATGAAAATAAAAAGGCTAACTAATGTTTTGTGTGCTTCCTATCTATCGGTAGTATTTCCACTCACAATAGTGTAGTCGTAATACTACTTGCACAAAAGTGAAATTCAAAAAGTAGAGAAAAGTAAAACATTTTGATTGATTTTAAAAGTACTCTACTGTACAAGCAAAGAGATTAAATTAGATTGACTGCTTTAAGTTTATCTTATTTGTTTTTTTATTGTTCAAATATGCCACAAGTTAATTAGTAGATTATAAATCATTATTTCTACAAATGTTAATTTGCACGAAATATATAAGCGAGCATGATTATGATTACCAGGATAAATTTAAAAACTTTTTTATGATGAGTATTTCAGTGGCAGATTCAAGGGGGCCCAGTCGGCCCACCCGAGTCTCTAAATTTTGCAAAATTGTTCAGTCAGACAACTAAGCTGTCCGACTTGAGATCGTATGCCTGAGCTGGGAGAAGGGGTTGAGAGAGAATTCCCTCTCCCAAATGAGATTTTTTTAAGAATAGCAACCTCTGGATGGCCGGAAATGGCACTCTCAGACTGTGACAGACATTGTGTTGGCTTGATTTTACCTATTTATATATTGTTTTTTAGGGTTGACTACCCGACTAGCTCTGTCCGACGGGGAAGGGGAGGCTTGTCCTGTCCGGTGGGGGACTTAAGCCCCTGTCCCTCTATTTTTTCACACTAGCAGATTCCTCTTCTTTAACGTTTAACATTTATTTTTATATATTTATAGTAGCATTACCGCAACACGATCCTGACATACATACATATACATATGCCCAATTCCTACCGAGGCAGATCGCAACCGTGTTGCTTTTGATTTTATATCCTATCACTCTGCCTATGCAGCTTCTTTGATTTTA